TATTCTCCAGACTTTTACATCTTCCGACCAAACTCCACCCAATGAACATCCGCAGTCCCATCTGCATTAGGGCACATTGCTTTTACGTTCCCCAGCAGCTGAGCTAAGTTCAGTGATTTGAGCTTTTGCTCGTCCTGCTACTAAGGGAGGGCAAACACCTTCAGTGGCGCCGAGAAGCCTGGGCCCTCCGTGTTTGGTGCCAATGCTCTCAAGGAGACGGCAAAGAAAATAGTCCGCTGTGCGACATGGACTGCGAGGTTGGGAGGGGATGAAATCTGGGGCAAAGTGAGATGCTCCGTGCTCAGGACGTCCATCCTGCAGCAGGTTGAAGACCCCAATTGCTCCAGTTTTCCTGGGGTCCAGCTGGGAAACGCTGGTTGTTCTCCATGGTGACAGAGCCTCAAGCAGCAAAGACTGAGGGGAAGGACTCTGGTACCGATGCTGAATTCCTGCCTGTGGCCTCCCTATTCTCCAACCATGTGGTTGCTAAGGTGATTTTCTGTCTTAGTCAAAGGACGCCATGTCTTACCCTTAAGACAAAGTCCAAGCTCTCTAGCCTGCCACTCCAGGCCTCTCCTTGTAACTTCACCTCCTGGGGCCCCCTGCAACTCCTACCCCAGCGATTCCAATCTACATACTGTCCCTTGAGAGTTCCATGCTTCTCCTGGCCTGGGCCTGGAACGCCGTCTCCGCCCACTTCTGTCTGCCTAGACATTTTCTACTCACAGTTTGAAAATCAGCGGCTTTGTGAAGCCTTTATGGCTGTTACAGGAGCTCCTCTCCCACCACCGGCCTAGGCATACACGCCTCTCTCTCCCCTGCGGCACTTCCTCGGCAGGGGGGACCTTCTGTAACCACAGGTAGCCCGGTGTATTGTGATTGTCACATGCCCGCCTCCTCTGACATCTCCTGGCAGGATCAGCATCTCTCTCATCTTTATACGCCTGGCACCTGGCACACAGCCGGTGCGTGATAAGTGTTAACTGGATGGAGACTGGCGGCACTTCAGGTAGCAGGAAAGGCAAGTCAAGGGTGCTAAGTCTTCTTGGTTCAGGCCCAGGAGCAAAGTTGGGTCAGGGCAGAGCTTCAATGGGACCCTGATGACAAGACCCTGTGGTTCTAAGCATTCTGGACTAGGGCTCGAGAGAGTTGAGAGAAATTGATCATTTAGGTAAACACACCATTGCCCATGGCAGCTGGGCGGGGGTACCAACGAGACTGTACTATCTTACATTAGCCGCGGAGAGCAGAAACACCTGCGGAAGCCCCAGCGGGCAGGCCGGCCAAGTTCAGCACCTGGTTAGCCGGGAGAGCCCCGTGACCGACAGAAAGGGCCACGAGGGGAAGAATCAGTCAATCACCTAGGCAAGGAGGAACGGCAGGGACTAGCAGCAACAGGGGGCTACAACGGCTCAAGGGGGGCCTGTCTCTGATAAGCCCCGGGGGTTCTCTAGTGCCAGGAGGGGCCGCAGGGGCCTCCTGGGCCCCGCTGGCCAGGCTGCTGCTGGCCCCACACCTCCCTCACATCCCAGTGCCCTCTGGCTGTCTGAGCCTGAGAGCTGGGCATTTCCCTTTTCTCTGAGGGCTTCGTGGTCTCACCAGGCGCACCTAGCTAGCTCCCTACTCGCACGCTGACCCGAAGGACAGAGACAATTCCCCTGGAGCCCGCGCGCTGTTTAGAGTAAGTGCGGTCAGCCCCTTGCTGCACAGTTAGACATGAACCTTGGCACTGACAGCCCGTGGGGTGAGAACAGGGCGGCTTGAAACTCCCCGAGCTCCGCGTTAACACAGGCCTCCCGTCCCAGCCTTTGGTCTCTACTATAAAGCAGCACCAACAAAGCATCGTAGAGATTTATGGGCGAACTTTCATTCGAGCTGTTTCACACCTAAAATAACATGAGTGCTTGGGCCAATAGGCAGAAATTTTAGGTTTAGATTTCAACTGCTTAGGTTTTCTTCCACTTTTAAAACTCAATTCACTTATTTAAAAAATTATCTTAAAATTTACAATTACATTGTATTCCCCTCTCAGAGAAGACAGCTGGGAGACATTAACTTGGTAGCTGTGACGTCCTTCTGGGAAGGACAGGCCTAAGTGTGAGTACACAGTTGGTTCCTATCCTAATAGATATCTATCTTATCTTTTATCAAAAAGAGTGGTTTTTTTCCAAGGGATTTCAATGGATAATATTTAATTTTGTCTTTCCTCCTGAGTATACCCCATTGTCAACAAGAATAACCAAATACCTATTACTGTGAATAAAACCCCAACAAAAAGAGTTTCACTTAGAAGACAGTAAGATGATATTTGAGCCCCAGATTGTTTTTGCTGTACCCTGTCCTAACCTATGCGAGAATTCCCCGAATCAAGCTAAGACCGTGACTGACGTCAGTTACTTACAGGTCAGTAGCGCTGAATGAAAAGAAATCAGTGCCCCATTCCCTCCAGATGGGAAGTCGACTG